ACACCGCCACCGTGCGGGTACGGGTAAGCGCCTCAACGCGACATCCTACACCACCAACGCCACTCACTCAGGCACCTCAACAAAAGGGAAAGAAGGACTCAGGAGACAAAAGGAGCACAACCAACAACTTGGCTGAGCCACATTGGCACAGTGCAGCACACACAACCAACGCCACTCCCCGCAAATCACCATCAAAGTATGAAATACAATTACGTTTTCTATTACCTCGCATGGAGGGTCTGTGTCGGTTGCGCAGCAGACACCCCACGCTAACTGTTACATCTCGGCTCCCACACGAGGGGCAATCCGACACTCTGGCACCATCACCGGCAGGCTGCATGCATGAAATTGTACCTGCAGCAACTCACCACAGACAATACTACATCTTTCCAAAGGATGATGTTTAAAACATTTCATGAGAAAATACGCAGCAATGGCACAGTGCAGCACACACAGACAACGCCACTCCTCGCAATGCACAGCATAAAGCAGCCTGCTTTCCTCACGAATAAAAAACCAAAAATCTTATCTAAATCGATCCGAAAACCTTTCACACTATCTTTTGAAGAAGCGCCACCAGCCTCCACTCCCTGGGTGGCGCAAACAAAATAAAACCGGAACATAATGACGCAGTACGACAACAACGCCCATCTACGCGGGCATCTTAACGTGAATAGTGACGATCGACTCGTCAGCGCTCATAGAAAGATCATCCACCATCAACGACTGACGACCGAACACGCTTCTCCTTCTCTGTCCTCCACCCAGCCAGCTTCCCGCCTTCGAGCTCTTGCTCGCAGCAGCTGAATAAAGAGAAAGTTGGTCAGCATAGGTGCCGTCGGCGCTCGAGAATCCCAGCGACCCACCACCATTCACAAGAGCCTTTCGATCCATCACAAGGGAGATCTTCATCGCCAACCGCTGCATAATCTCACGGCAGTAATAGTCTTCACTCACCGACGCAGTTTTCCGCGGCACACGGACAGTCCAACGCTGGCACAGTGACTGGAGCAACTTCAGCCGCCGTGACG